CCCAGGGAAGCGGTCGAGAGGTCGGGGGCCCGCGCCCCGACAAAATCGAGACCCGATGACATGAGCCTTACCACCGGCAGTTTTTTGGTTTATTCCGGCCTGTTAGAAGGGAGGGCCGGTTGGCCAGGCCTACGGGGCCGTCAACCGAAACGGTCCGGGACGAACGGCCGGTCCCTTGGCCGTGGCAAGAGATCCGGATTTTCTGGGGGCCGCGCATCGGATAAGAACCCATGTCGGAACTCGTGGTGTCCAGAGTGCTAAAAAAAGGAGCAGCCCTCCAGGCTTCGCAGGCCGCCCAGGTGGGTGGGGTCGAAGCAGACGGGGTCGGTGCATCGCGCAGCATCGCCGATGCATCGGCGGTGCTGGTCGATGTGGAGCCCGCTTTTCTCCACGCCGACGTTGACGACGCATTTCCGACGTCGCGGACGCACCGCCGACGCAGCGCGCTCCTTCGACCCCATCTATACCTCGACCCCGTTTGGTCGCCTTCAGTACATTGGTGTGGAGGGTTTCTCCGAAAGGCTTAGGCGACCCGTCCTCCTCCTCTCTCCTCCCCCTCCTCCTCCTCCTCCTCCTCCTCCTTCCGCAGCCATTTTGGCTCAAGAGATTCTGGCTCGTTAGCCTGGAATTGAAAACCATATTCAGACACGCACAGAACGTGCCCGCTCCTCCTCCTCCTCCTCCTCCGCCTCCTCCTCCTCCTCCTCCTTCTCCTTCCCCCCCTCCTCGCCTTCCCCTCCTCGGGTCGGCTACGGCCCCAGGGGAAAGCGTCCACATGGGTGCCATGTTTCGGCACTCCCGGAGGAAAGGTCAGGGCGAGAAGGGTCGAAGGGCCCAGGTCGATCAGTATAACGTTCTGCCTCTTTGGGGGCCGCTTCCAGACGTCAGGGAAGACTTAAAGTCGGGCCTGTCCCTCTACAGGAGGAATGTTCAATCACAAACAAAATTGTGTGGGGATGTTTTTGTGTTGTTGCCAATGTTTGACTATGTTTGAGCAAGTTGTTTGGTATGCTTTATCTTTTGTCGTCCAGACTCCGCCTGTAGGGTGACACGCTGGACCTAAGATGAGTAACTTTCTGCCTCTTGGAGGCCGTCTCCAGACGTCAAGGAATATGTGAAAAGCCAGCTCTGGATAAAGGGCTGGGATTTCTGGGATCCCCGTGTTGAAAAACAATCCAGCGGATATCAGGGGCCTCACGTCCGAGGTTTTTTTGGGTGGAGGCTTTTCGTCTCGGGATGCTTGTCGGCAGTTGTGCCCAGGGCGTTCTGGGGGTCCAAAATCGTCCCGAACGGCCGCGGGAGTCCAGAGTCCGAAAACAGATCGTCGACTCGGGGCGTATAAGATGGGGATAAGAGGCTAACGGGGGCCAGCCAATCTGCTCTGGCAGGCCATGGTTCAGGAGCCACATTCTGCGATCATTTGCGAATCCTATCCCTACGGGTCCACGCGACGCTGGAGTATCGGACACCCCTGCTCAGGTTCACTTGGCCGCAGACATCCTTCAAATTCTTCACGCTTCGCGTATCCCCACCAGCCCATCTCAAAACAGCAACTCTTGCGAACCATGCCGACAGTCGTGTTTTTCAGGCGTGTGTCCGCTTGCCCCCGCATTTCCTCCTTCCTCCCGCCCCCTTGTACATCCTCCTTGTGGTGGGAGCGGGAGAAGGACGAGGCGGAGGAGGAGGGAGAGAAAGCGGTGGGAGGCAAGAGGGATTTAGCGGAGACGACGACCACAGCGATGATCCTAACAACGACGACGCACCCGACGACGACGACGATATCGACCGCAACGACGACGACGACCACAACCGCGACGACGACGACGACGACGTCGACGACGACGACGACGAAGGCGGCGGCGACGACGACGACGACGACGACGACGACGACGACGACGACGACGACGACGACGACTGGTGGGAGTCGTTGGGGCCCCTCGTGGTGTGAGTCGTTCGGCCCCGTCCTTCGGGCCCCTCTTCTTGGTGTGAGTCGTTCGGGCTCCTCGTGGCGTGAGTCGTTCGGGCCCCTCGTCCTGGTGTGAGCCGTTCGGGCTTCTCGTGGTTCGAGTCGTTCGGGCCTCTCGTCCTGGTGTGAGTCGTTCGGGCCCTTCTTCGTGGTGTGAGTCGTTCGGGCTCTTCGTGGTGTGAGTCGTTCGGGCTCTTCGTCCTGGTGTGAGTCGTTCGGGCTTCTCGTGGTGTGAGTTTTTCGGGCCCCTCGTCCTGGTGTGAGTCGTTCGGGCCCCTCCTCCTGGTGTGAGTCGTTCGGGCTCCTCGTGGTGTGAGTCGTTCGGGGCCCTCGTCCTGGTGTGAGTCGTTCGGGCTCCTCGTGGTGTGAGTCGTTCGGGCGCCTCGTCCTGGTGTGAGTCGTTCGGGCCCCTCCTCTTGGTGTGAGTCGTTCGGGCTCTTCGTGGTGTGAGTCGTTCGGGCCCCTCGTCCTGGTGTGAGTCGTTCGGGCTCCTCGTGGTGTGAGGCGTTCGGGCACCTCGTCCTGGTGCGAGTCGTTCGGGCCCCTCGTAGGAGTAGTAGTAGTAGTAGTAGTAGTAGTAGTAGTAGTAGTAGTAGTAGTAGTAGTAGTAGTAGTAGTAGTAGTAGTAGTAGTAGTAGTAGTAGTAGTAGTAGTAGTAGTAGTAGTAGTAGTAGTAGTAGTAGTAGTAGTAGTAGTTAGTAGTAGTAGTAGTAGTAGTAGTAGTAGTAGTAGTAGTAGTAGTAGTAGTAGTAGTAGTAGTAGTAGTAGTAGTAGTAGTAGTAGTAGTAGTAGTAGTAGTAGTAGTAGTAGTAGTAGTAGTAGTAGTAGTAGTAGTAGTAGTAGTAGTAGTAGTAGTAGTAGTAGTAGAGTAGTAGTAGTAGTAGTAGTAGTAGTAGTAGTAGTAGTAGTAGTAGTAGTAGTAGTAGTAGTAGTAGTAGTAGTAGTAGTAGTAGTAGTAGTAGTAGTAGTAGTAGTAGTAGTAGTAGTAGTAGTAGTAGTAGTAGTAGTAGTAGTAGTAGTAGTAGGGTAGTAGTAGTAGTAGTAGTAGTAGTAGTAGTAGTAGTAGTAGTAGTAGTAGTAGTAGTAGTAGTAGTAGTAGTAGTAGTAGTTAGTAGTAGTAGTAGTAGTAGTAGTAGTAGTAGTAGTAGTAGTAGTAGTAGTAGTAGTAGTAGTAGTAGTAGTAGTAGTAGTAGTAGTAGTAGTAGTAGTCTGTTGGGAGCCTCTTGGAGGCCTTTTGGGGCGTCTTGGGGGCCTCTTGGCGGCCCCAGGGGCTTCTAGGAGCGTCTTGGGTGCCTTGGGGGAGCCTCTTCGGGCCTCTTGGGAGCCTCTTGGAGGCCGTTTGGGGCGTCTTGGGGGCCTCTTGGTGGCTCCAGGGGCTTCCAGGAGCGTCTTGGGTGCCTCGGGGGAGCCTCTTGGGGCCTCTTGGGGGCCTCTTGGGGGCATCTTGGGGGCCTCTTGGAGGCCTCTTGGGGCCTCTTGGGGCTCTTTGGGAGGGGTCTGGGAGGTATCTGGGGGCCATCTTTCGGGCGATCGATCACAGATGAGGCGAGCACTTTTCTGCCTCCCCCCGTCGGGGCCAGAATCCTCGTGAGTGGTGTCGAATTTTAGCCCTCCCATGAGTCGAAAAAGACCCCTCCAACGACCCGCGGGGCGCCCTCTCCAGGCCCAGGGGGAGGGGGTAGGGGGAGGGGTAAACCCCTTCCCGAAGGGGAAGAAGGGGGGTTGAGAACAGAGCGGGCTCTCTAAACCACTCACGCCCAAAGGGCTGGTGGGATTCCGAACCCGGCCAGCTATCAGAAGTCTGACCTGCAGCCGTAGTGTTCGCACGTGGCGTTCTCCTCCCTCCGCGGACCCGGGCTTGGGGGACACATCGTGGCCGGCCTGGGTTCGCGGCACGTCCCCGGACGTCCCGGGGTCGGCCCATTCCCGAGCCATCGAGGGAGGACCCGAGGCACCACCGCGCCCCCCAGGAAGGCAGAGCCGACCCGGGGGTCCGTCTGAGGTTGGGCTGCGGGTCGGCCAGCTGTCGCTGGCACCGCAGCTGCCCTCCCGTCAGCGTGCGCGCGCGCGCGCCCCACCTGCAGCCCTGCACGAGCCACGCCACGTGGCGGTGGGGGAGGCGACGGCAACGACGGGAGACGAATGGCACCACGCGACTATCGTCGTTCCCGTCGTGGGGTGAAGGCCGCGTTCAATCCTCCTCCCGCGCGCAAGCTGGTCAGCACAAGTAGAGGCAACCTGGGAGGGAGCGCGCCGCTGGGTGGCGAGCTTGGTCCTCCTTCCGAGAGCGCCGTGCCCCCCGCAGCGCTTGCAGCAGGACATGCTGGCCAGGCCATGGGATGCAGAACCTGGCTTGGCGAAACAATTTGCCCAGAACTATCCAGCCGAGCACCTGACGTCGCATCCCTGGGACAGGACCTCCTCGAGGGGCAAGTGGGCAGGAACCCAAAGGAAGAGCGGGGGCTGGGGCGGCGAGGTGTGTGATAGATCAGCCCATATAGCAGCGTGCTTGGACAGCTTCCTTGCATGCGGGACACGTCGCAATGCCGTAGCCCGGGTTGCTCGACGCGCGAGCGGATCGCTTTTGCCGCGCCGCGACGCAAAAAGTGTTGGACTGCCTGCAAGTCGGTGGTACGGAAATTAGGAGGGGGGGAGGCTTGGACGGCTTGCCTGATCTTCTACCTCTCGGCCTTCCCTATGGCTTGCCCATCTCCTGTGAGCGCACCGTAGGGAGGCCGACGGGGCAGAAGGGTGCCACACGGCTGCACAACAGACCAGCCAGTGCTGGTGACCTCATGAATATGAGACTGCAATCAACTGCCGTCTCACAACAGCTCTCTTTGTCTCAATCGCCTTGCACGTCTCCCCATGAGAAAAGGGGGAGGGCAAGTCTCTGGGGCAGGGGGGTGTGGCGAACTGGTGCAGAGGGGCTAGAGAGCCCGTGGGCGAGATGTGTGGTGTCGGGTTGCGCAACACCGCAGGCGCTCAGACTAGACTGTCTAAGCGTGTCCCTGTGTGACACACATACGCTTTTCGGGGATCGGCTCACCGCGGGTGTCGTTGCCCAAAGCATCCACCAATTCCTCACAACCGTACCATTCCGTAGCCTTTTTGGCTCCAGTTTGATTCTGCTAACGGTGGGAACACATTCTATCAACCCGACGGGTATTCCCCCCTGCCACCGTTTCCGTCTGCTGCCATGGGCGGTGGTGCCTCTACTGCGAAAGGTGTGAAAGCCGCGGTCGATGCAGCGACGAAAGCTGAGTTGACCCAGGCCACCGCCGAACTCAGCAAGAGCCAGAAGAAGAAGCTCATGGAGGCAGTGGGGGGCAGGAGCATTCCCCTCAGCCCCGTCGTCTACCTCACGTCGACCGGCTTCGTGACGGAGACCCAGTGGGCGCGCTTCATTCAGGTCGTTCTCCAGAGGCGCGGCGTTCTTGACCGAGAGGACGCGGGCCCTGGAGTGACCCGGGAGGGGTTGGCGAAGAAGTACGCCAGCGAGATCCAGAAGCTTAAGGTGTTGTATATCAATGATGCCTCGTACCACCGCCCGCCTGAGAACATGGCTAAGGGTCGCATGGGGGATGGCAAGGTGGGCGAGAACGGATTCCTGGGGCGCGGGGAGGGCACATGGTTCTGGTGGGACCAGGGCCTGGAGGACAAGATGGGTGTGCCGCAGAGCAACATCCAGATGATCCAGCTCCTGGAGAAGCCCTGGCTCTTCAACCGGCCCGGCCGCCTGGCCAACTGCGAAGCTTCAAGCCCCAACGTAGCCGAGCTCGACCCTGAGGACGAGAAAGCGTACTTCGCAGCGCTCCAGTTGACCCAGGACGCGTACAATGCGCTGAAGGAGACCCCGCCCAAGGAGGGTGCAGGCCAGGCGGGCGGATCACTCCCAGGCTGCCCGTCCTCAGGGAAAAATTGTGCCGATGAGCTGGCTGAGATTTCCACCAGGCTGAACGAGAAGTACGCTGCCGCACTCGACAAGTGGTGCACTGAAAACATCGATACGGCTGACATCATCGTCGGGCAGGGTGGGGAAGTCGTGATGCTCAACATGGCGTGGCAGTGCAACCAGGCGGTTGCGTCGCGCCTCGTGAACGCGGTGCGCGCAAACGGACCTGTGTATGCTGGCCTCAGTGCGAGCACGATGGTCGCTGCCAAGTCGATGGAGATGACGGGCGAGATCCAACCAGGTTGGATTGAGGCCTTCGCGGCTGATAAGAAGTACCTGAGCAAAGCCCAATTCGATGTGAACGACCTCGACGGGGATGGCATCAAGGCCAATGTGCTTGGGGCGTTGCCGCTGCTCGAGGCGCCCATAGCGATGCGTCCGCATTACACGCCAGCTTGGGAGGCACAGGTGCTGGAGAAAAATCTCCTCGCAGAGAAGGAGTTCGAGCAAGAGACGGGCATCGAAATCGATGACGACCTGGTGCGCGACTCTAACTCTGGTTGCGAGGTGGGCTGCGAGCTCCTCTCCATGATCTCGAAGAAGAACAAGGACCAAGACCGACCAGTCTTCGTCCCGATTCGTAATGGCAAGGTCATCGAGGTCAACATTCACGTCCAGCAGGGGAAGGTCAAGTACGAATATTTCCACGTCATCGATTGAGAACGGGGCTGTGCGCCTCGTCGGCATGCTGGTGGATTCCCAGCCAAGAGGGCAGGGAACCGCATCGTAGTATTTTCAATTGCCGAGGCCAGTTTTTGGAGCCGCGCACTGTTCCTTCAAATCTGCGTCCCTTCGCCTGCTGCTGCGTTTGCAGCTGCAGTGTTGAGGTTGTCTGCAGCAATTCTGATGACCATCGACTTCTTGAAGTGTGGCTATATTTCCAAGCGGCCCTTGGGAATGTCGGTTGCACTGGCCGAGTCATGTTGCCATCGCTCGTTCCGAGGTGTCGTTCTTTGTGCCAGGGGCTTCTGCAAACACATCTTCACAACCGTACCATAGAAGTCCATCTGCTGCATTAGCTGCTGTACACACCTGGCACTCTGGGATCATGTCGCAACTTTTCTCTGCAAGGAAGGTGGGCTGATGGACCACATCGCCCTAAACCTTCAAACGGGCCTCAGCCTCCCTGTGGTCCCCGATGGCCACGAATGCCGCTCCGCGGCGTTTTGTGCCAAGTAACTTCAGTGCAGCCCGATGAGTTCATGCGTGATCGTAGCCTGCGGTGTTGCCAGCGCTGTATGCCCTTGGTGAGAGCCTGCTTTATGTCGAACGGGACGGTAGCGAGCAGCGAGTGATGAACCCCCGTGTCAGAGATGAACGTGTGTGCCTGTTCCCACAGCCCATCCAATTCGCCACAAGGATATCCAACAGGCCAACAACATGGGCCCTCTAACTTGCTGCCATGTAGGGTTGTCGCCCATCATGAGGCTGAGCGCAATCCAGGCCCTCAGGGTCCTAGCCAAGCTGAACCTCCCATCCCAAATCCAACTCGCAAGTTTGACTGCCGTGCCCAAGGTGGCGTCATAGATAGGGTCGTAGAATGGGTCCGTGTTTCATCGAGGGGAGAACGAGGAGGACGGAGGTTGGAGGAGGGATCGAGGAGGATCGAGAGGGAGGATCGAGGAGGGATCGAGGAGGATCGAGGTTGGAGGAGGAGAGGGTCCACGCCTCCTCGCGTCGTGAACACGGTACGACGGTGAACGACTCGGCACGAGGAGCCCGATCCCCAGGGAGGGGTCCAGACCTCTGGGGTTTTCACGTCGTGGCGCAAATCATGACGTCGGGGGTTTGGGGATGGAGGTTGGGAGAGGATCGATGATCGAGGAGAATGCCAGGAAGATCGCAGAGGGTCGAAGATCGGGGAGGATCGGGCGTCGACGATCGAGCACATCCGCCAGGTGGGGAAACTTGCACCGGGCCTGCCGGAGAAAGAGTCGAGGTCAGTAGATGGGGCCCTTCGGGATGGAGCCCTCAGGACAGGAGGGGGTCCTAAGTTGCACTTTCAACAGTCGAGGCTGCTCTTCTTTGGGGCCCCATCCCATCGGGGCCCCGTCTTCGAACCGCCGACAGGAGCCGACCCGCGGGTGCCCACGGATGCCTGAAGGGCTGTGCCCCACGGTGCCGGCCATGCCTCCACTGGGCCGGAGAGGGGAAAGGGAGGAGAGGAGGAGGCACGCCGCGGCGCCCGCGGGACCCGAGCCAACGAAGACGTGCGCGACCTGAGATGGCCTCGCGGGAGCGCCGCCGCACACTCCGAGCACGAGGAGCAGGCCTTCTCGTCTTCTGCTGCAGGGCTCCTGCGAGAGGAGCAAAGGCTTTCCTGGCATGGCGGCAGGAGGCCTGGGACGAGGGAACAGATCCGGGAGGGGGCCAGAGCGGCAAGGTCTGCCCCGCCCTGGAAGAGTCTGAAATGAGCCGCGCGCGACCCGGGTCGGGGCGGCCCTGCCTTGGGGGGTTCTCCCCCGCGATCTGCGCCATGCGCAGCCTTTTGGGGCTCAGGTGCAGGCGCCGGGAATTACGGTCAGCAGGGATCTGGGTTAGGCGGGCTCTTCGAACCCAGACCTCTGGCGCCGGGCTTCCTCGGAGCTGGCAGTGCTTCTTACCAGCCTCGAACGTATCCCTAGCCCTAAGATTGACACGCCAGAAGGCGATGACAATCTCAGGGATTCGCCCTCAAAAAATAAGGGGATCCCTAAGATTGGCATCGTGATGAGGAGGTGCCCAGCATAGGGGTAAGGATATGTTCCAGGCTGGTAACAGCCGGCTGGAAGCATCGCGGAAAGCCACGGCTGGAGCCCCAGACCCCACCTTTCTGCGTCACGTCTCGAGCCTGGCGAGTCCGCCGAGAGGGCCCTGGGTGCCCCAAATCTGGGCGGGGAGGCCCGATGGTAGCGAAAGAGAGACTGTGCCGCCAGGACCTCGGGCCGGCTGCGCGTGAGAGTGGCCCCTCGCCGGAGTGACCTCTGGTGCAGGCCCGCCGGCGCCGCCCTGGAGCCGCGCATCAGAGGTCGCTCTTGCCCAGGGTCCCTGCTAGTCTTATGTCGGGCCTGTCCCCCTGCAGGGGGATTTTCGACGGAAAATAAGACATACCCTCAAAATAGTCAAGCAATATGCAAAAAGTGGTCCAGGAACTATTTTTTTGTTATTTCCTGACCTTTCTGGCGTATTTTTGGGGAATTTTGGTTTTTTCGTCGGAAATCCCCCTGTAGGGGACACGCCCGACGTAATGCTCGTCGTAGCCGATCGGGGTCGAAGAAGGAGGCACGACGCTCGGAGGTCTGGGAGGCCAGGTGGGCGCCCGCACCGATGCCTCTCGACCGCCGGGGCCTCCGCGACCGCCTGCACCTCGCGCGGGAGTCCTTCGTCGACCTGCTCGTGGCCGGCCTCGGCGGCGAGGTCAAGGCCTGCGCGGACGATGTGGGCACGACCCGCACCCCTCGGTCTGTCGGGCCTGTCCCCCTCCAGGGGGAGCTTCGACGAGGACCCAAAAGTACCCCAAAAATGCCCCAGAATGCTCCCAAAATGCCCCAAAAGATACGCCCCAGACGACTTTTGGAGTATTTTTGGACTTTTGGAGTAGGTTTAAGTCGGGCCTGTCCCCCTCCAGGGGGAGCTTCGACGAGAACCTAAAAGTACCCCAAAAATGCCCCAGAATGCACCCAAAATGCCCAAAAGATACGGCCTGGACCACTTTTGGACGATTTTTGGATGATTTAAGAAGTGCTTTTTAATTTTTCGTCGAAGATCCCCCTGTAGGGGGGCAGGCCCGACTTAAACCTATCGGTCGTTGGTACTCCTTGGTCCCCGTCTGCTTTAGGCGCCTGCTTGAGCCAAGAGTCGAGCACGATTCCCTTTGCCCTCCTCTTCTGGGGGGCGGGCGGAACGCCAATCTGCTGTCAATGCCGTCCTGCTTCGTGCTTGTACCCACTTCTTCCGACCGATGGGGCAACATACACACTTTCGGAGGTCTGCGCGGATTTCTTGGATCGGCGCTGGACCCCCCTCCCCGGCGTGCGAGGCGCGCTCATGGCGGCGCTGGAGGCTCCGCCAGCTGGCGGCTATCCCAGAAGTCCGAGCGGACCTCCGGAATTCGACATGTTTGTATTGTTTCGGGCGTTGCGCAGTGGGGGGTTGATACGTGGGGGGGTGAAGACACGTGCAGCATGCACCTCTCGTGCCCTGGAGGGGCCATCTGGGGCCCAAGAGGAGCACGAAAGGTGCTCGTTTCTCCCTCCCCCGCACCCCTCCCGTTTATCGACCCCGCATTGTCACCGCCTACCAAACCACCCCAACCCATCCCGGAGGCTTCAAGTTGTCCTCCATTTCGGGTGGGGGGGGGTCGGGGACCAATGAAAAAGCACATATGGAGCCCGTACCCCTCCCAACCCGAAATTCGGGTCTTCGGGTTGGGTTGGGGTGGTCTTGTAGGTAGTCACATTGAGCAACGCCCAGCCTTTTTTTTGTTTTTGTTTTTGTTGTTGTCTTTCCTGAGGCCGAGATACGCCTCCTGTCCTCCAAGCGCGTGGCGACGCTGAAGGCCTCGGGGGGGGGTTCGCCAGCCGACCACCACCCCACCGACTCGGGGCTTGGCCGCTCCTGGGCCCAGGAACGCGCACACCGATCTCGGTGAGGCGCTCCCAGACCTCCCTTAGCGATGATTCGGGGGTGGACAGACTTCCTCCCCTGACACGTCGGTTGAGGAATTGGCCGTTTTCGGTTCGCGAGAGGGCGTCGCGGCCGTCATTTTTGCGGGTCCAGGTCTGTTGGTTTCGGTCCCAGGCCGTTTTCACTAAAGGGAGGTTTACTAAAGGGAGGCTTGTCCACCGCCGAGATGATCGCTTTGAGGACCTTCCCGGGGACCACCTGACGGATCTGTTCGACCCTGGTTCGACACCAGTTCGACTCAAGTTCGGCTCAGGTTCGACTCAGGCTCGACCCAAGCTCGGCAAGAGTCGACGGACGCTCGACGCACGAGTGGAGCGAGTGGTTTCGGGAAGGTCTCCCGATCGAGCATCCGATCCCTCGGCCTCGACCTTTTCACCACGGGCCCCCGGAGGCCCAGACCCCTTCCCCCGGCATTTCCTCCGAGCAGCTTTTGCAAGGGAGGAGGAGGACGAAGGACGAGGAGGAGGAGGAGGAGGAGGAGGAGGAGGAGGAGGAGGAGGAGGAGGAGGAGGAAGAGGGGGAGGGGGAGAGGAGGAGGAGGAGGAGGAGGAGGAGGAGGAGGAGGAGGAGGTGGGGAGGAGGAGGAGGCCCAAGAGTCTTCCGCCGCGATTCCTCTCACGGCGCGAGGGGGTCTGGGCTCCTGGCCGCAGGCGGGCGTGCACGTCCTGGGCCTCCCGAGAGGGGGCTCGAGCGGCCGGGGTCGGAGGCTCGCGCCGCACCGCCGAGGCATCGGCGCTGCAGCTCGTGGAGTTTGATTTTCTCCGCGCCGGTGTCGCCCATGCACCGCCGACGTCGCCGACGCATCGTGGATGATGATGATGATGATGATGATGATGATGATGATGATGATGATGATGATGATGATGATGATGATGATGATGATGAGGAGGAGGAGGAGGAGGAGGAGGAGGAGGAGGAGGAGGATGAGGATGAGGATGAGAATGAGGACGAGGATGAGGATGATCTTGGTGATGATGATGATGCTGATGATGGTGGTGATCATGCTGATGATGATGATGATGATGATGATGATGATGATGATGATGATCGTGATGATGATGATGATGATGGTGGTGATGATGATGATGATGATGATCATGATGATGATGATGATGATGAGGAGGAGGAGGAGGAGGAGGATGATGGTGATGATGATGATGATGATGATGATGATCCCCGCGTCTGAAGGGGTCAGAAGCTCCTAGCTCGTCCTGCCCCTCGGACCGAGGCGTTTCCCTTTGGCCATGCGGTGGCAACGCTCGGTCTCGTGCGCCTCGGCGCACACGCGCAGATCGCCCGAGTGCCGAGAGCAATCAACCGCCTCAGCCGAGGCAAGCGAGTGACCGCACCAAGCAGACGAAGCGACGAAGCACGCACGGCAGCTGGCATGGCCACGCTGCACGGTCAGGCATGCTGGGACACAGCTGAGCTGTACGCCGCGCCTGAGAAGCAACTGGATCCTTGGGCAAAGGCCACGGCAGACAGACGCTGCTCCTGAGGCCTGCGGGTATCGAACCAGAGCGTGGACGGACCTACGCTCCTGGGTCGCCCTCCACGTCGAGGGACGGGCGGGCACTGACACGAAACGCGCCAGAAGCTACATTGAGCAGGGCGTGCAGGCACGCCGAGCGGAGGCAAACACCGAGAGAGGGCGGACCTTCCTTCCTGGGTAAGCCTCCAAAAAGAGCCCCTGATGAGGCCTACATGGTTCCTGAGCCAGCGCTCTTGGCCAGGGCAGGCAACCTCGCCAAACAGAAGCATCAAGGCGGGGGGGGAGGGACATGGCAACGGTCAAAGCGTCAAACCCAGGCCGCCCCGCGCCAAGCCCCTCCCTCCATAGAA